ATAAAAGAAAATTAACTAGTTAACTAGTAAAAATTTGTTTAAAATTTTTTTTTTTAAATGTTTAGAAATGTGTTGAAAAAAAATCTTCTTTTCTATTGAACAGAAATTGGTCAAAAATATATAAAATACAGGATGGGCTAATATTTCTGATTGCAACTGCACATGTTCTAAAAGGTTTCGACTCTCTTTCGGGTTAAGCGCAATTATACAGAGGTCTATTTTTAATTAGTATTAAAGAAACTAATTTACAACAACTTTTGGTTATTGTACCTATTACTGCACCTATTCATTTTCACCCCACACCTACCTTAAAAAAAGATTTAATCAAAAATAAAACCTAATCACATGTGAGGTAGCAGTCCACATGTAGGGCTCTGTATTCATATTCGTATTGCAATATGAATATAACTTCACCAGATGATTTGAATAACTCAATTTAGGAAGATTTTATTAAATTAGATGGGAACAGGAATGATCAAGTCTTTTTCCATGCAGTGCATCTGCATAAATAATCATTAATTACAAGCATATTTATTAAAAGTAAAAGTTAAATGACCAGTGCTTTATAGTTTTCTGGGGAGTCTAACAGTATTCAGGTACAGAACATTGTCACCATTGTATAAATAAATTATTTATATATATATATCTTTTTTTTTAACATTAATATAATAGATAATAATCTAAGCCAGCAAGGCTACTATTGCAGATAAACACATTCTGATATCAATGCTCAAACAATTTATTGTTCAGCCCTAGTGATGGCTTCAAATATTTTCTGACACAAAAAAGATTCTGTCATGAAACGCAATGTGCTTCTACAATATACATATTCATTACCTTACTGGTCTAAGAAACATTGTGGGGGGAAAAAAGGCCAATTATTAATCATTTGGACCGCAATCAAAGCTTGACATTAACACTTGCCAACTTACCAATCTCTTCAATAGCCTCTTTGGCGGGCTGAAGTAAATACAACAGGACTTGACAGGACAAGTGTATTTTTTGGAGGGGCAAATGAAAGAACAATATACTTTTTAGACCATCAATTGATCTTAAACAATAAACTACACTCTCAGAAATAAAGGTACGCAATCTGTCACTGGGGTGGTTCCTTTTCAAAGGTACAAATTTGTACCTAAAAGGTCCATATAAATACCTTATAGGTATATTAGTATCTAAAAAGTACAAAATTGTTCCTCTTAAAATTGGTACTAATATGTACCCTTGAGGTATTACTATGGACCTTTATTTCTGAGAGTGTAGAGACATTTCTGCAAGAGTGGTTCAGAATTTCATCTGAAAGTGTGTGTGTTCTGTGTGTGAGAAAGAGAAATAAAACTTATAGATCAATAAAACTGTTGAGCACAACTGTATGGACAACCTAGAACAAACATAATGTGCTCATAATAAGTTAAATAAGCTCATTTGACATAATAATACCATTAAATAGGCATAAAATTACTGGAATGACTTCACTGGTTAATTTAAAAATGCACTGTTCACACACAGGAAAATCACAATTCCAGCAATTTACTAGTAATGTTACACTTCTCATTTCAGCAAATTGCTGGAAAAATGTTCAATTATTTTTAAATGGTCCTTTTCACTATGATCTCGTCACAGCAGTTTACTTGTCATTTTTCAGACTGTATGTCATAAAAGGGATATTGACTTCAAATTACAAATAAGTATTTTTTTATGAAAATAGTTCTGAACAAAGACCGCAGCAAAATGAGATTCCAGTTTTAAAATGTTATAATTTCATATGAAAGATGAAAAGGTAAGGTCAGGTGATTTTAGGCTACATTAAAAACATATTTTGCTGCTTGTTAAAACTACTTTTTTTTTTTTTAGATTAATTGAAACAACACTATTCTTCACATTTGTGGAGGACAACGTAATTGTTTTATGTTCAAAACGTAAATTTATCAAGTGCGATTTTTACTGCATTTAAAAGTAGACACTTTAAGCTGTCTGTTATACGTCTCAGTTTTGTGTGTCTTGTTTTTGTGGAGTTTCCGTTAATTTTAGTGACTCGTTTCTAAAAACAGTTCACGGGTGATACAAAACAAAGAATGCGTACACTGTTTATTTCCTTATTTTGCAAAAGCACACACTTTTGTTATTATTATGAGATCAATAATCATTGCTCAAAACCACGCCTCCTCCAAAATACATGAACATGCACAGACAGACCTGAGGCTCAAGTGACAAGATGAGAGGGTAAGATTACCTGATGTCTCATCAACCAGTGAGAAAACATCACAGGACAAAAGCGCATATATTAAAGAAGTATCATGAGTCAGTCTGCAGAGTGGGACATGCTAATGATGTACCTGTCTGAGTGAACAGATTATGCAAATCAATGTATTGACAGGCCGGTAGGACAGCTTATCATAATGTTCAAACCGGACATTTTAATAAGAGGATTTTTTTTTTTTTCGATTGTATGCCTCTCATAGGCTTTATACTGTCAATCAATATCTACTCGATGCTGCCCTTATGAAACTCAAAATAGTCACATCAATCTTTTGCTGGTAGATTTCAGTGGCTGAACAACACAACCATGTATATAATCCATTCATTAAAAAACAGCATCTACATAAGCTTTGCGTGACTAAAATTGTTTTAAAACACAACATTTCCTGTCTAACAGAAATACTTCAGCCATGGTGTCGTCCTTCCTCTAGCAGGCAAAAATAACTTCAATATTAATTTAGCATTTTTAAAGTTTTGATGAAATTCAATTTCAATTCAATTTATGTTTATTTCTATTGCATTTTTACAATGTAGATTCTGTCAATGCAGCAGGGTGTGACGAGACACTTGCTCCACGAGACTAGACACAAGATTGGGTTCACGAGAACAAGACAAGATTTTTGACTTTTTTAAAAAACAAAATGTTATCTTTAATAATGAAACGTATGAATAGAAAATAGTCATTTATTCAACTGAAAAAATAAAAAATAAATGAATAAATCACAAAATGCTAAAAAACGTAGGTGCGAGGTCTTTTAAGGATATGCAAACACTGCAAAAGGTTTTGCCATACTCTCTACAGTCTGACTTCTCCCCTGTACAATTTCACATGAGAAATCCAACTCCTTTTTACATATTGAGCATAAAAATTAAAAAAAACGTATAAATAAAATAAATTTTATAAAATATAATTACATGAAGAACACTGTAAATGCAAACATTAAGTGTCTCTATAGCACTTAACTTAGAAGTTCTAGTAAATTCCAGTTTTCAGAGTTGAAGTTGAGTTTAGTTCAGTTCAGTTCAGTTCAGTGTGGTTTAATTCTCACCGCTGAAAGTCCAAACAAGAGCAAATCCATTAATGCACAGCTCCACAAGTCCCAAACCAAGCATAATCAGCATTTACCGCCACACAGCCATATTACCCTGCAGCCCAAGACCGGTTACTCACTGAAGCTAAGCAGGGCTGAACCTGGTAAGTACCTGGATAGCGCTATATAAATACACCTTACAATACTGTCACTCTCTTTCTCATATGCACATGTCATAAATGTGGCACAAATGCACATGCAAATGGCAGTCAGCTCTGCATGAACAGCTGCGCAGTTGTACAAGTCTACATTTGTTGACAGACAGTTTGGGCTACTTTAAAAAATGATGGGAATTGTCAGCAGTTTTTAATCTTATGCCTTGCCGAGAATATAAAAATACATATAAATACATTTAGATTATTCACTTTAATCATTATTATTGGAATGTGAAGAGACTTTCAACCAGCACAACAAAAATGTTTCTGAAGACAATCACCTACTGCACCTTTAAGGTAACTTTAAGCACACAATAGTCAACTTCAATCCTTTAAAATGGAATTTCCAAATAACAAAACAGCCTTCAGTGAGAACAATGAGAGGCAAGTAACTTAGAAAACCACTCGTCACAGTGAATATTGAGTAAATAGTAAGGCCACTGCCACAATAATAGTATGATACCCCTGAAAAGCAGCGTACAATATGGTTAAAACTCAAAGCTTAATCCTAATTAATTAATGTGTGTTTGTGCTCAAATTGTTAAGACATTAGTATCATCAAAATGTAAGCGTGTGTATGTGTTTGGCCCAATTTAAAGAATTAAACACTAGGCATGTGATGATAACCGGTTACAAGGTTTACCGCGGTTTGAAAAAAGTCAAGGTTTTTAAAAACCACAAAAATTCTGTCATACCGTTCCTAAGGTATATGTAAGGTTTAATGTGTGTTTTCTTATGCGTTGTAAAGAAAGCAGTGCTTTTGAAACTAATGAAGGTACAGTAGCAGAAGTCAATGATTTAATTATTTAGCCTGACATCTTTACTGTCCAAAAAATTATACATGTTTCCTAAAATGAAATATATTGTGTTAAATATTGGAAAGTTTTTTTTTTTTTTTTTTTTACCCAGACATTTAAAAATAACTTAATTTGAGAGCAGTAATCACAAAATCATGAAACTGTGGTATTTTTATCCCAGGTTTGTTTATCCAATACTGTCAGAAACTTATACCAGACCATGCCTCTTACACACAAAAGATTTTAAAAAATCATGTCGCTGCAAATGGCACAAACTTAGACCAATCAGTTTTCATTTCTGGGTGAATCTTTTCTTTAAATATAGCTGTCCTTTCCCTAAAACAATCTACATACACCATCAAAACCCCTGAAATAGTACATGCAGTACACAGTACATCTGGTAATGCTTTTGATTCACCACTAGGAGGAATCAGACGCTAGGAAATACACTAGCCTTCAAAGCGGCACACACTTCACGCTTAAACTGAATGCATTCATACTAGATGTGCCATATTAAGTGCATTTTTGGCTGTTCTACAAGGGTCAAATGGAGGCATGTGTGTGGTATCCAGAGGTCCTGGACCTAGCAGTGAGTGGTGCACTATTTGGGAAGCAGTGAGTGAACACGTGTGCAGCAATGATGTGTGCGTGTGTGCATGTTGTATGTGTGTGTGAGTGAGTGGGCAGCGGTGACTCACTGCTGACGGTGAGCACATTGTTCTTGATCTCTGCAGTGATTTGGATGCGGCCCCTCCTCTCGGTGTGGTCAGTCCCACACAGACTCGGCACGTTGGCCACACAGCGCTTGTGGATGTTCATCATGCAGTCTGGATGGATGGATGGTTGGAGGGAGGGAGACAGAAAGAAGGAGAGATGTTACATCATAACTCTACATTTCACTCGAAGAACACAGTGTTTTAAGGCATTGTGTTTCAAAGATGATAAATCAAGCTATACATGGTGACCTTTTAAAGGCCAGACAAAAAGGCAAAGTGCTATCTTCTACCCAAGACCTGTTGAGCAAATTCTGCAAGTATAAAAAGGACATGTTTAGCATGACTCATAAAAGTCTCCTACTGACATGCAGACTGCATAAAATGTATGCTTTATAAGTGAAGGCACTGACAAATGCAAATCTGGTGTCACTTATGCAATACATATGATAAAGAAGAAGCCACAATTAGCAAAATGTATGAATGGATATACCTTTTAATGAATACATTGGTAACACTTTACAATAAGGTTCATTAGTTAATGCATTTACTAACATGAACTAATCATGAACAACACATGTACAGCGTTTATTAATCATAATTGAACATTTACTAATGCATTAATAACATCCAAGTCCATGCTTGTTAACATTAGTTAATGCACCAAGAGTTAACATGAACTAACACAGAACAACTGTATTTTCATTAACTAACGTTAACTAACATGAACAAATACAGTAGTAGATGTATTGTTCATTGTTTGTTCATGTTAGTAAATGCATTAATTAACATCAACTAATTAACCTTATTGTAAAGTGTTACCAATACATTCATAATGTTTTAACAAATCTTTATTAATAATTACATATTTTTATGTCAAACGCTTTTAATTCAATTCATGTTTATTACTTAAGCACTATTACAATTTAGATTGCATCAAAGCAGCTTAACACAGAAGTTCTAGTAAATTGAAACAGTGTCAGTCTAGTTTTCAGAGTTGAAGTGCAGTTTAATTCAGTTCAGTGTGGTTTAAATTTTACTGCGGAAAGTCCAAACACTGAAGAGCAAATCCATGGATGTGCAGCTCCACAAGTCGCAACTAAGCAAGCGACAGTGGCGAGGAACAAACTTAACCAACTGACGAAGAGAAGGAAAAAGAAAACAGGGAGAAACCAAGCTCTGTTGGGCACGACCATTTCTGCTAAATCAACTATTCTATTAGTAAATTAAATCTTGATAATTAAATATCTGAATAAGTGAATGTCTGATTGCAGACACAACAGTAAAAGTACTCGAAGACTTATGGACCGAAATATGGATTGTTGCATGTTTAATTTCTCATGTTTAAATTGAAGATAAGACATCATAGCAGCACTATGAATTCAGAGTGCCCGTGTTTCTCAACCACGATCCTGGACGACCACCAGCTCTGGACATTTTCAATGTCTCCTTAACCAAACACACCTGATTCAGATCGACAGCTCATTAGCAGAACGAAAGACCTGTAATGAGTGTGACAGGCGAAGGAGAAATCCAAAACATGCAGTACAGGTGGTCCTCTAGGAATGTGGTTGAGAAACACTGCCTTAATCTATAGATTGGACCTAAAAGCAGTATATAATAATAATAATAATATTAATAATAATAATAGTATTTTTATAATATTATCATTATTTTAGTTTTTATTATTGTTATTAGTAGTAGTAGTTGTAATAGTAATAACTATTATTTTTATTTATTTAAATTTTTATGGTCACATTTTATTTTAGGGTACGATTCTAACTACTATTAACCCATTAACTATTGCTTTTGAGACAAAATTTTGCCAATTTTCTGCTTATTAATAGTTCTTTAGTTAGGTTTAGGTATTAGCAGAGTTTGTTTGTGGAAAATATCATGTGAAATATGTACTTTATAAGTACAAATAAAGAGCCGATATCTTAATAGTAGGCATGTAATAATACACTAATTAATAATGAGATTAAGATTGAGATGAGATTGGTACTCAAATTATCAAATAAAAGTGTTACCATATTTTTCTCGATTCCTGTTATTTTTCAAAAAGTTAAACTGTTTACACAATATGGTGTCATACAACAAATTATGACACAATAAAACTGCTTCACCTCACATTTCACTGATGTTAATATTCAGACAAATGTAGTAATCTGTAAGACTTAATAAGTGACAAAAATTACATTATTACAATATTATTCATAATTTTCTTGATATTCATTTATTTTCCCTTTATTAATCTAGGGTCACCACAGCAGAATGAACCGCCAAATTATCCAGCATATGTTTTACGTAGCGGTACCCTTTTAACTGCAACCCATCACTGGGAAACACATTCACACACATACACTATGGACAATTTAGCTTACCCAATTCACCTACTGCATAGTGCATGTATTTGGACTGTAGAGGAAACCGGAGCGATTTTCTTGATATCTAATACCATATTAGCTGGTTTTGGAACAAATGAATAGTCTTTTCTCTAATGTGTATATGTGACCAGGAACAGACTACTGTATTTCTCATGTCATGCTAATTTCTCTTGCTAATGTCGTCACCAGCTATAAGCAGGTGCTTATTTGTGCTCCAGCATGCTGTTATCTGCTTCTTAATTTGCTTAGCAAGCGTGGCAATCCAACACCATCACAAATACTTTGAACCGGTCTTTACTGTCAGCAGGGGCTGAAGAGCAAAGCCATAGCAATGATGCTAATCACTGTTATGATGCTATTGTTGTGTTGGAGGCCACAGGCCAAACACAAGCAGCCGGACTGGACACAAGTTTACATAACAAATAGTGACAAAGGCACAAGCTACTTCTGAAAACAACTGTGAATAAAGCAAGCGCGAGCTCTCTGTAATCCCTTATGTGCTACAGCACTTCTCCACAGTTCAGTCAGAAGTGTGACAGACCGCAAGCCATAGCTGGAGTGTAAACACAGTGGAGGACCCCGGAGAAGAAACTAAACAAAGGTAATTATAGCTCTCACAGTCTGCAACCATAACAACATTGTGTCAGGTTTCAGGATGATGATGATGTGGAGCGCCTTGTTTTTTACACCACCTGTCTGCTCACTTGTCTGTCGTCCATTAATAAGACTAAAGATCCGCTGGTTAATATGCTGGACAATATGCCAACAATCAGGTACATGGCGGTGAATACCTGTGCCCCGGAGGCTCGGACAGCTGCTAAGTGAGTGAAGCATTTTGAATGTTTTATGTATTGGTCACTGGATAAGAGGCTGGCTACTGTGAGATGGAAAATCTCTTTGTAAACGGGACTTCATACAGTCTGGTTATGTTCACAGGATGTCCGCCTCGCAGGGATACGTAACACAGATCCATCATACTAGGGTTGCATGGTACACAGTACATACACTGGCTTCCAAAAAGGGGGAGAGGGACTGATGTAGAAACATTTTGCACATTTTGAACAGGCTTTCAGCACAGTTTGACTGTTTGTAAATATCTGTGATGTAAAATTACGCTTTGGGGTATAGTCGAAATGCATGATTCTTTCAAAATGAAAAGATGTAAAGCATAAACACTACCTGATAAAGGTCTTGTCGCCTATCCCAGTTTTAGGAACAAAAATTAATAACTTGACTTCTAGTTGATGATTTGGTATTAGAAGTGGCTTAGGATTACCTATGTGAAAAAGGACTTTTAAAAATTCCACATTTTTCAAGTGCCTTGGACTGATTTTTGCAAAAAAAATTATTTTTTAAAGTCATTTGGAATAGCAAAGAAAGCATTCTTGCAGGATCCTCAGAGTTCATCAAGATTCTTTTGATTCATTTTCAATGCCTCCTTCTTTATATTACCCCAGACGTGCTCAATAATGTTCATGTTTGATGACCGGACTGGCCAATCCTGGAGCATCTTGACCTTTGCTTTCAGGAACTTTGATGTGGAGGCTGAAGTATAAGAAGGAGCGCTATCCTGCTGAAGAATTTGCCCTCTCCTGTGGTTTGTAATGTAAAGGGCAGCACAAATGTCTTGATACCTCAGGCTGTTGATGTTGCCATCCACTCTGCAGATCTTTCGCACGCCTCCATACTGAATGTTACCCCAAACTATGATTTTTTTTCTTCACCAAACTTGACTGATTTCTGTAAGAACCTTGGGTCCATGTGAGTTCCAAATTGGTCTTCTGCAGTATTTGTGATTTTTAGGATGCAGTTCAATGTGAAAAATGTACTGTCTGCCATTTTTCCAAATTATCAACTAGAAGTTATTATTTGTTTCTCGTACAACTGGGATCGATGACAAGACTTTCGTTATGCAGTGTATGTGTTGTTGAAGCAACATTGTATTTTTTCTGTCACACATGACAAAAACGAATATAATCAGTAGTGTCAATATAAAAAATGTAGTAAATGGTTAAACTTTCTTTCCTTCTACATGGATCTCTTGTTATAATTATGCTTTGTTTTATTCATATATATATATATGTATAGGTATAGTGTGACCATAACACGCATAGTTCTATAAAATACAACTCTTATAAATGATTAAAAAACAGAAAATAATTAAAAGATCAATAAATTCCTCAAGCCAAATTTTACTAATTTGTTCAATCTTTTTTAGTAATTTTATTTGTTTATTTATGAACAAACAATCATATCAGTTTCTTAAAAAACACAAATAGCAACAACATTAAAACGAGTCATATACAATCTTTTAGTTTGATTAAAGATAAAGAATCTAAAATTGCTCCTGAAGGCACCTTTTCAAACATTTCACTTAAAATAACTCCTGAATAAAAATGTTCTCTAATATCATTTAAAAATACACATTCTATTAAAATATGTTTTATCGTCTAAATATTCTTATTTTAGTAAATAGTAATCATTGTTTTCATCCATATACTTCTAGAAACATAAGAACTGAATACATTTTGTCACTGAAAACCATGTCCTCTGGTGTGACACTATTGACCTTATTTAGCAATGTGGAACTGTGCTCAGTTTTTGCGATTGTTTTAGAACTTTCGTTTCAGTTGCCAATGAAAGAAATGACTTGGAATAAAAAACTGAAAATGGTGATTCTATTTACTCTACAAACACGTGTGTTCCTGACTATATATAAAAAGTAGAATAATGTTATAAGAATAAACCAGTTTGAAACATCAAGCAGCATACCAAGCTGTTTTTAACATATAAAAATCAATAGACCTCTGGCCAAAAAGATTCAAATTGCTGCAATATCGCTCAGTATTTTAAATGATAATTTAAAACTTTAATTAATTGAAGGGCTCCATTGATAATCATGTGACTGAAGCCCATGGTGTACACCTGTTAAGTTTTTGTTTTAGAATTGTGCTTCGGTGTGACACCCCTATTTATTGAAAGTGTTCAACAAGTCTGACAAGTCAGGGACAAAAATATTATTATTAAAAGTATTACCACAAACAAGGTATTTTGTGACATCATGAAAAAATTTGGTATATTTCCAAATTATTATAATTTTTAAAAATAATTTTGCCATATTTCACAGGGCTACTATTCACTCATTTAATAAAACTGGCAAAATAAGTATTGTGACTGGTGGATTATGTGCAATTAAATGGAGGAAAGTAAGGGAGGGTTACTCACGGTCACATCTCATGCCCTGGTGGATGAGGCCGTACAGCAGAGAGCCGCAGTGGTCACAGAAGGTCGGACTGGAGTATGTGTGGACCTTGAACTTGTGCTTACTGCGCGGGTCCTTCAGAGAGACACACAAAGAAAGACAAGAGTCAGCTACATTAGCTAAAAAAAAGCATTATTCAACAAACCAGGAATTACTGTTGATTGCAATCATACAAATATAGATGCAAACAAAGTCTTAAAGGGGAAGTAAATTTAAAACAAGCAAAAGGGAAATTGGTGGGGTGTGTTGAAGTTCGCAGAGGAATTCAAACAGGTATCTGTATTATAATCTACAAACGCACAGTTGAGGCAAGGAGAAGTGGCTGAGAAAAGCTAGCATATAGAATTACAGTATTTAAATTTGGACCATTTCTGCTACAAGGAAATATTAGAAATCAATATTTAATAAAAAAAAAAACATTTATACTTGAAAACAGCTGGATACTGGAAGTAAAAAACGTTTTACATCATACATGTAGGCATTTTTACATCGTTACCGAATTTAAATACTTCTTTAAAGGATTTGCACTTTGATTATTTTACATTTGGTAAACTTTAGGAACGCTACATTACAAAGCATAATATTGTACTTTTTGCCTTTTACATTTGATCTGTAAAGTTTTTTTTTTTTTTTTTTTTAAGTCAGAAGCAGAGATGTGTGCAAATAATGCTGAATTAGCAATTATAACAGTAAATGTAAATCATATTTAGGTCATGATGGTTTGTTTTTTAAATTAATATAAGGTAAAAAAGAGCAAGCTGTTTAGGCTCAAGTGTCTTCCCCACTGCAAATGTGAAAGTAATTATATGTTTGTAATTGTCAACATTGCATCAACTTCAACAAATTACTTGTTAAAACTACAATTACTGTTCAACTACACTTATTGACTTTAAATATATTAAGTTGATAAAACTAAGGGTTTTCTAAGTTTTAAGCCCTTTTAACCACACATAGTTGGTACAGTACAGTACACAGTCAAATGTTCTTCCCAAACCATGGTGCTAAATTAAAAAAAAAATAACAGCAATAAAAATGGCAACACACAACTAAGAATACAAACCATCTACATAAAATGTGCAGTGTGTGCAAAACATAATATCCTAGTAAACTGCAGCAAAGAGATCATGTGTGGACCAGTACTAGACCACTATAAATACTGAAAAATTCATGCATTCTGAAAGCAATGTAAAATAATTCCTGAAGAAGAGTCATTGAAGTTTGAAAAGTCATTGAAATTTAAGACTCCAAAGGTTTTAACAAAAGAAAAAAAAAACTATTGTAATTTGTAGTGTTTTTTTTTTTTGCACAATATTACTGTTTTCACTGTAGTTTTAATTTTAAAAATGCACCATTAATGAACATTAGACTTTCAGAATTAAATGTAAATTTATTTCACAAGGATTGCACAAGATAGACAAAAAAAAGGGAATATTAGGCTATAATACAAAAATAGATATATATAATAAAACCATATATTATTAACATAATACAGCATTATTAATATTAACTAATACCAAATTATTAGATCTTGAAAGTATTGTAAAAGATGCAATATTGTTCTTGAGTTCTGTTATTATATTTCTTGTGATACAATTTCCCCAGAAATGCTTTTCATTAGCAAGTTTTTAATAAATCAATTTTTCATATATTTATCATACTAAAGTAAACTTCCTAACAGATGTCAAGGTGTAAATATTTAGACTTTAAAACACTATAAAAGACTACAAACCTCAGCAGATATTCAGATCCTCATTAACTGTAGTCATTTTTATCTCTACTCCTTCCAGTATTTAATATTTATTAACATTTCTTGCGTTAAACTCTCTGTTGTGTTAGCTGCTACTTCAAAACAGCAAGTCATTATTACTAATTACATTAATAAAATAGTATTTAAATCACTTTGTATTAACTTAGTTACTCAATAAGTAACTGAATTGCCTAAATCAATAAAAAAAATCCACATAAATCTCAAATCATGGACAATAGAAACTATACTCTTACTTCTTTCACCTTGAGTCAAACAGGACCTTTTAGTTTGTTTAAACAAAAGCGCTTTCATTTTTCAACAGTATATGTTAAATTAATGGCACTACATTTCATACACACCATATACTGACACATACTTCCAAAACATCAATTTTTTTTAAGCTTGAGCAACAGTTAGACACATAACACCTTATTTTGTTAAGAAATCAAGTCATTGTGCAACAAATAATCAGTTACTTTGCTTCTATAAAAAACTAAGGTTGTCATGAACTAATTTCTCAATTTCTCATGCGCAACTGTTTTGATAAATGATTAAATTTGGATAAACAACCTATGCGTGCAACACACAGATGATTGGCACATAAAATATATATATATATATATATATATATATATATATATATATATATTTTAATTTAAAAACTCTACGATACGAATATTGCACATACGCTTATCATGATAACGATATACAGTTGAGCACAAAGATATTTCTCATGATAAATAGTTCTTGTCTGATGTTCAACAGAGCAAGAAAATGTTCACAGTATTTACTATAATATTATTTCTTCTGAAAAAAAGTCTTATTTGTGTTTTTTTCTCTTTTTTAGTCATAATTAATGCAGCTTTTAATAATAAAAATAAAAAATATAAACATTTTAAGATCAATATTATTATCAATTGTCTACAGAACAAACCACTGTTATACAATGACTTGTGCTGTCTGGGAATTAACAATTAAGCAAATTTACTTAACATCTATCTGCATCAAACACCATTTATTACGATTTAATAATTAATAATAAATAATTCATAGGCTGTAATTTTCTAAAAGCAAATTGTCAAGAATATTTCCAGAAATTGACCCAACATGTTCTAGGTGCCACAGAGATCAGGCCACCTTTGGCAATATGTTCTGGACATGTCCATCTCTAGGACCATATTTGCCTGTGTTTGTGACTTATACAGAATATGTGAAAAGAAGATACAACCAGATGGTGTGACACCTAAAAACCTTGTACTACCAGCAGGTCATTTAATTAAACTAGCTTTCTCTTCTTTGTTGGCCTGGAGGCTTATACTTATACATATTCTAAATGGGTAGAAAATGTAATGTATATCAGCAAGATAAGCAAGAAAAACTCAGATATCGCACCCAAGACTCAAATAATAGATTTTTCAAAGTTTGGAGACAATTCCTGTCATATTTTTAGGACAGATTTATTCAGAAAACTTAAATTGTAAGCCCACGCTCCTAAATCAATCGATTGATCAATCAATCAATCAATCAACTAATTAATCCATCCATCCATCCATCCATTCTGTTTAACAAAAAGAAGATTCTTTCAACATATTTCTAAACATAATAGTTTGAATAACTCATCTCTAATAACTGATATATTTTATCTTTGCCATGAAGACAGTAAATAATATTTTCAAGACACTTCTATACAGCTTAAAGTGACATTTAAAGGCTTAACTAGGTTTATTAGGTTAACTATGCAGGTTAGAGTAATTAGGCAAGTTATTGTATTGCAATGTTTTTTTTTTTTTAAATAAAACTAAATAAAATTAAATAAAACAAATAAGACTTTTTCCAGAAGAAAAAATATTATCAGACATACTGTGAAAACATCTTTGCTCTGTTAAACATCATTTGGGAATTAATTAAAAAAGAAATTCAAAGGAGGGCTAATAATTCTGATTTCAACTCTGTCTGTCTGTCTGTCTGTCTGTCTATTATTTCACCCTGCATTATCTACTGTTTCTTTTTCATGTACTTTCATGTCTATATGTTTGAGTTGCTGTGTTAAAATCTTTAATTTGTTGATGTTAAACAGTTTGCTTTAAAAAAATCAAGTAAAAGACTTGTCTACTACTTGCCTAATTATCCTAACTTAGTTAACTTACTAAACCTAGTAAAATTAAAATTTAAGCTGAATACTAGTATCTAGTAAACTTTTCTGTACATGTCATCATGGAATAGATTAAAGAAATTATTTATTTATTTATTTGACATGGACATCACAACTACACTGAACAACCAAATGCATCTGTTTATGTGTTTCAGCAAACTTGCTAATTCTCAACACCTGTTCACAGGAGGCTTGAAAATATTGACAAAATGAAAATATAAAAAAAACACATACACAACATTATAATTCTTTACATAAAATTACTGAAGCAAAAGCAAAGGCAACATGATCCAACAAACTAACAGTAGACTATTTGTGCAAACACTGCTGTTTTGTTTTTAACCACTTTTTAAGAACACTACTGAACATATTTATATTACTTTCTGATTTTAAGCTAACAGGTAAATCTTTCCACAGTTTGGCTCCCTTTATAGAGAAGACAGATTGACCAAAAGAGGTCTTACATTTGGCACTAGACAGTCACCATTAGCAGTTACCCGTGTAACTCTGTGAGAGGTTTAATGCCTACTGATTAGATCAAAAAAATGGATTGGAACATGATTATTTAAACATTTAAAAAACAATAAGATAATTAAAGTTAATAAAATTATCAAAACTAAAAAAAAAAATGTTTAAAAAGGAAGAAATTAAAAGTTAGTTAGTAAAACTATTAGAAAGGAGGGCTAATAATTTTGACTTTGACTATATATATATATATATATATATATATATATATATATATATATATATATATATATATATATATATATATATATATATAGCCAAAATTAATACTCTATTTAATATTTTACAACCACAATTCTTCTGCTGAGTAATTGGAGTTGCACAGAAGTGTCATATAGTCAGGATATGAGCAGCAGCGGGTCAGCAGGGCACTGGCAGTCAGCTGGAACACTGGCACAAAAAACTACCCTTCCTGATCGCCTCCCACCCCAACTGCCGCATCCATTATTAATCAAGCAGGCCCCCTTTTATGACTTCCTATTCATAAGAAGCTGTTTTAATATTCTCCTTCTGAATACAGCTCATGGCAGCGATGACACTTACACACACAAAAGAGAGCAGTTTCAATACAGTCTGGGCACACGGAGAGGCTCCGGTGAGCATATATGAGCCACACAAAACCCACACGACTCTGTTACATACTCTTACAGT